CTGAGGGTGAAAAGAACACTAACCAACTCCAACTCTCCCCCCACCCCGGCGCAAAGTGTTCTTTGTCTGACAAAAAGTTAAGGGCGGTCAGTCCCTTGCCAGCTCTGCCAACTAACCTGGCATTTTCGATTTTTAACAACATTCACGTGGAGGAAGGACTGCTTCCGTCTCACCACCTGGACAACTTAAAAAAAAAACAAACTTTCCTAGATTCAACCGAAATCTAAATGTGTCAATGAGTTTCTGAGCTGAGAGGCCGAAGGGAGTTCGTGGGGCTTTGGTTTTAGTTTTCCTCTCCCAGTGCTCAACTAGCCCTAGCTTTCAAGCAGAGGACAATTGAAGCTAATGGAGATATCAAACAGAGCCAGAATTCCGCAGGCTCCCTTTTCACCACCAGCACCCACCGTCCATCTGCAAGTGTAATCACAGAGACCTGCGGTGTCTTCATCACCAGGGGCTCCGGAAAAGGGGGAGACAATTCTGTTCCGTTAAAAGGCACCCTGTATTACCACTTATTATTTGTGTATAACAACATAAGAATTTCTCCCTCCTCTTGGAATTCCCCCACAATATTTAAACAGCGTTTGTCGTCCGATTCGTACAAACGCTTGAGGCCTTTCTGGAAACCCATTTCCATTCAAAGGCTAGAAAATTGCTCTCTTTCCTTTAAAAAAAGGGGGGGGGGCGCAGCAGCGGCAGCTACAACAGACAACAACAAAAAAACTTTCTCCTGCATAATCCTGGCTCACGGAATGACAAAGAAAAGATATTGACTTACCCCTGAACGGATGATGTGTTTGATAAGGGGGGGACTTTTTTGAAGATTTCTGTTCGGGAGCTGCACAGACAGCTGCAATTCATGGGCGATGCTGATTGCCAGAAACGCTATAGATTGGCATGGGGTCTGCAGCTCACAGATCCTGATCAATACCCCTACACTCACACGCCAGATGGTTTGGGGAAGGACAAAAATAAAATAGTCCAAATCAACCCACCATTATGTCTTTTTGTCGTGCTCAGATAAACCTAGTTGTAGCACAAATGTGCTCTGCTCAACACAAAACCTTCTCCAGCATTTTGAACATGTGGGTGGGAATCAGCAGCCCTCCTCTTTCCGGGATTTGGGTTGCGGTTACTGTTGCTTGGTGAAAACAAAGCTGTTGGGCCCCTTATCCAGACTGGGTTTACTTGTGGGCTGTTTATTTTTGTGTGTGTGAATAATTTATAGGGTCTCTGTTTTAATTGAATGTCCACTGCTTTCTCCCTCTTAGAGCCTAAAAACAATTTAATGTGAAAACACATATGAAAAGTAAAAAATTCCAGTAAAAATTTCCAATCGTTTTCTGCAATTGCTAGCTCAAGTTCAGATTTTTTTTTTCCCTTTACAGTACAATAGGTTTTACATTTGTCTTCAAAGCTGCATTTTATTTAAAGGCTTCTTTTGACCCATTTAAGTGTTTGATCTTAAAGAAAATCAGACCTGTGGATGTGGCACACCAAGAAATGGATATCCTGCCCCTGATAAAATGGCTAGTGCAACTGTTTGTCCAGATTCTACAAGTCATGAACTAGCTCTCCTGCTACCACATTTCTGTATAGTCTATTTGCGAATCAAATGCCAACGGGAAGGGGGAAAAGGCATGTGACTTCAAATTAAAAGAAAAAAGTCTGAGTCGAAGAACTTGTGAAGCCTAGTGTTTATGTCCTAAACAAGGGGCAGTTAGAAAGCTTTTTTATTTTCTTAAAGAACAATAGAAAAAGAAACATCAAAGATATGTTAAAACATATTTGAAAACCTTATTAGTACTGATGTTCTTAAAATTATCTTCAAGTAGAAAATAAATATTCTTCCTTTTTTTTAGAAAGAAAGGGAAAAGGGCACGCAAAACTAATTCAGTTGAAAATTAGGAGGCTGACTAAACATACCCATTAATTTTCCTTTTAAGTGGGTTTTGGTTTGAAATATAAAACCTCAAACCACCATTAGAAAAATAACGTGAAAAATCTGCTTTAATCTACCCCAATGAAATTATACACAAAGAAGCCAATACTATTTCATGATTTCCCTGAGATCGCCAATATTGATCGAGGGAAGGGGGAGCTACGTTGGGAGAGAGGGAGGAGAAAGGAGGAGGGAGGGAGGGAGGGAGCTAGGCAGCGAGAATATGCAACTCACCTTTCAACTCCCCAGTACTTGACTGCTCCCAGGCACACCGAAATGCAATTCCTAGGATATTTATCTTGATAGCCTGGTAAATGAGTTTTATCATTTTGAAAAATTATTGAAATGGCAATTTGTATATTTAGTTTTCTGTATAGAGGCACTGCCTATCAATGCCCAAGCCTGGGGTCACTCGCCACTCTTTGAGGCTGAAGCCAGGGCAGAGGAGGCTGCTTCAGCACCAGGGCATACCAGACAGACTCCTTCCCCCACCTTGCACTCTTATTGCCTTTTGTTCAATTCAGCGTATTTTTCAAATAATAACTGTTTCAAATTATCCCAAGTGTCCAGCTGCCATATATAAGGTGGGGTGTGGGGAGAGAGACAGTAGGAGAGGGTGAGAGGGAGAGAAAAGGCAGAGAAACAGAAAACTGAATTATTTCACCGGTCTAGTTTTGTGACATTACAGAGGTGAGCATCCAGAAAAATGTGTCTACAGTCCACTTTCCTACCCAGGCTTTGATATTACAGAGAAGCAGCTATTTGAAATAATAATTGGTAAGGTATTGTCCGGAGCTCAATAGTAGACCTGTGAGTAACATCACTGTACATTTCATGTGACAGGATGGTGTGGGAAGGGGTGGGCTTGTGAGGCTCTGTAGCTAGAAGAGCGGAGAGCAGCCCTAAAAGGTCAGGGAGACGAAGAACTATTTTCAACCCTTTCTCAAGCTCCTGGAAGGCACATACAGTATTCCAGACTGTGTCCTTGTTTTCCTAGCAAGTTTTCTCTAATAGCTGGAAGTGGTTGGAGGGGGCTGTCTTAAGGAGACCCCCTGCTCTTCTTTTTGACAGCTGATCAAAAGAAAATAGGTCACGCTTCTCAAACTTATGTCCACCCTGTCCTTAATTACTGTCTCTTTAAACAAAGGCAACATCTGCGCAACCTCAGCTAGCTTGAATCTTCAGGAGGCAAACAGAGCCGAAACCTGCTTTGGAAGAATCTGCTACTTTTAAGGCTTTCAGTGTCCGGTGGCTCTGTCTTCAACCACCTCTCTCCGTGCACCCACCCAAGTTGCAGAAACCTCCACCTTCTCTCGACCCCACTCCGGGGTTACTGAATAACGGAATTTCTAGGTAAAAGAAGGTGTACTTTTTAAAGCTGCGGCTTGGGAGCGTTCTAGAACTTGCCGGGGTTCTTCTGGTCTTTTCAGAAACAAGGTTTGGATATGCCAATGTCTGCCAAGGCTTCATGGCATCTACCACAGCCCTAATCCGGGGTGTTCCTCTCCCGGGATTCGAGAGAAGTGTGTGTGCGCGCGCGTATGTGTGTTTGGTTGGGGAAAGATCCACGGGTGTCTTCCCAGACGGTTTACATACTCCCTGCCCCTGGAGAAGTTTGCTCACTTTAGGCAGCAGCAACAATCTTGCCGCAACACCCACCCCCCACCCTCTCCCACCCATCTTAAAATTAACAAGTCTCTAATGAGGCAAGCATTTGGTCACATTGAAACCGAAGCTCTTGGAGTTCTAGCTTTGTTTTGCAATCTAGCAGGGCCCTTCTGAAGCCTCATAACAGGGAGATTTATGGGCTCGCCAGATAATTAAATGATATTATTGTGTTAACTTTGCATGCACGACCACGGGCCGAGCCGCCTGTGGGCTTGCTGCGTCCGCCTGCCGCAGCTCACAGGCGGCGAGGGCGCAGGAGTTCCTCTCGGGCGGTAGACGGAGCACGCCCCAGTCTCGGGAATTTGCCCTGCATTAGAATACCTCGGCGCCTGCATTTTAAAATGCTAAAAACTACTGGCTCCCAGCTAGGGACGCTCCCAGCTTGCTGAGACCTGTGTTTGTTTTTACACCAGCAAGTAGCGGAGTCCTTTCCTCCCAGCTTTCGAGCCTCGAGAAAAGCTCTGGGGTGAAGCGAAGGGAACTAAAGCAAGGCCCTTTTCCCCCAGATCGCAGCTGTTGGTGGGGGGCAGGGGGGAGACACAGCGCGACATCTTTAACATAATTTCTGTCCCTCGCTCGCACTCTTGCCTCTCTCTTCCTCTTCTACCCCTTCTTCCCCTCCCTCCCTCTCTTTGACGTTTGATTTCAGTGGCAGAGGAGAAAAAAAGACAGAGCCGTCAGCCAAACCTGAAACGCGCAGCCCCGCCTCCTCCTAAGCCATTGGTAGATGTGCGCAGGAGGCCCGCCCCCCAGGCCAGCCGTGGCCTCGCTGTGGC